GTTTTGCTACGTGCTTTAGACGTCCAGCCTCACCTCGGCTCCAAATGGACCCCAACTGCTCCTGCTCTCCTGGTAAGGGACTCCTGGCTCTGGGACTTGGATGGCCCCTTCCCAGCACCAAGACAGTGTCCCTGGAGTTAGACAAGGGAAAATTTTTAACTTGAACTCAAGTGGACTCCTGTAGTTCTCCGGGTGCTTTCTTCCTAGGCAGGGTCAGGAGAGAATTTCCAGTTTCCCTTTGCCTCTGTTTTTGAATAGAAGGTACTGAGACTTCAGGCTGTCATTTTTGAGGTCACTCAGATGGTCAGAAACTGCTAGACTGGGACCCAGTGTCCTATCTAGGCCTCACAGCTGCAAGACTGATGGAAGGAGGGGGCACTGACTCTTCCTGGTCAGAACATGAGGCCCTGGCCCCCAGCCCTAGTTTGCCTGATCTGGGTTTGGAGCCTGGGACATTCCCTGTGGAGTAAAATCAGGAAGGGAGCTACCTTCCCTGGCAACAGAAGAGAGAATGGGAGGCTTCTCTATCTGCCTGAGTGAGACAGGAGCTCCCGCTGCTGGGTCCTTACAAAGGAGGCTGAAGGGAGGGATTGTTTTCCATCTGCTGGAGCTCCTGCATCCCCTGCCTGCTCGCTGCTGGTGTTTTCCTTCCTGGCAGGCGGCTCCTGCACGTGCACCGCCTCCTCCACATGCAAAGACTGCAGATGCACCTCTTGCAAGAAGAGTGAGTGTGGGGCCTTCTCTGGGAATCCGGGGTCAGGGCTGAGTCAGAGGAGGGAGCCCAGAGCTCAGCAGGCAGGAGCAGGGCAGGGACCCAGCTTCCTTACATCCCTCCCTCAGAACCTGAATCAGAATCGGAGGTGAAAGAGTCATGAAGTTCCAACCTCTCATTCTAGAAAGGTAAACTGAGCCCAGAGTTGTCACCAAATAGTGTCAAAGATGGAGCCAGGAATAGAACCTAGGTTTCCTTTCTCTGGATGCTGCCATCTGAACCCTCCAGTGTCCTGATCACTTTAGGTTCTTGAACTCTGTGACCAGGTGCGTTTTCTCTGATCTGCTGGTGCAGCCCTCTCCTGTGGACGCAGCCCAGAGCTTCCCTGGCCCTCCTGGGGACAGCTCTGGCAGCAGCTTGCTCCCTGTTTAATCTTAACCACTTTTCTCAAGAGTATTTCCTCAAGGAATTCACTATATGGTTCTGTGAGGTGGGATGCTGGCTTTCCATTGCCCCTGGAGGCCCTGCCACAGTCTTCAGGTATTCTGCCCTGTCCTGGGGTAGACAGAGCAGGGCAGCCTTTTCCCACTGTCAGAGACCAATTTTCTCAGGACAGAGCACACCCACCTAAGTCCTCTGGGCCTGGGGGCAGAGCTTGTGCAAGGCCTGCAGTTAGAAAGGGCAATTCCCAGGAATGTGTGCTCTGGCTCTCATTTTCCTTTTCTTCCCCAGGCTGCTGCTCCTGCTGCCCCGCAGGCTGTGCCAAGTGCGCCCAGGACTGCATCTGCAAAGGGGCGTCTGACAAGTGCAGCTGCTGTGCCTGAAGTCGGGGAGACCCTGCCTCAGATATAGATCAAACAGCATGGACAAACTTGCATTTCAAAATTTATTCCTACTACTCTGACCAGATGCTACATTCCTTTTTCTATAAAATATGTGAATTGTAATAAAATTCATTGACTTTATTTTGGCTGTTTTTGTTGGTGTGTCTTGGAAGTAACATACATTATGGTCACCAGGACTGGGGTGGGGGATTGGGCTGGAAGTGCTGAGACATGGGTTCTGGACCTAATTAGTTGTCCCAAACACAGTAAGTGCCTTGAGCAGGTCAAGTTACCTTTCTGAGCTTCAGGTTTTCAGATAGAAATGAAAGCATCATCCACACATGATAAGGGAATGAGGCACATGGGTTCACCTCTGTCCTTTGTAAGTGTTGATGGCAGAGAAACTCCTCAGTTTCTCATTTTCACTCTCTCTTATCATCTGCCAAACTTCAGTCCTCAAAGATGTTAGCCTATGAAAGAACTCAGACAGGATGAAATTCAAGCCCCAGCTGTTTTACCTATACACAGTGCTTACTTCTAAAACACTGTTGAAGGACCAGGTTTTATTTTCTAACACCCACAGATTTAAACTTTGGTAAATAAAATGAATTACTAAGAAAAAGTTTTAGAGGACACAATATATAAAACCCATTTTTAGGTTCAACACACATAATTTTGTTACTATATGAAGAACCAAGAAGAAAAATAAGACTTAAAGGCTACACATATGTTCATCAAGGCCGTTTATGAGCACTGGAAGCACTTCACAAATGCTCCGCTGTGTGGACCACATACACCTTGTGTAGCACTGCCCCCATCCCATGGGGAGCATCAGTCTTGATTTGCCCAGTGACACAGAGAGGACACCCGCTACCCCTGACAGCTCCCTATGTTGGCTGGGCTCTGAATCCTGGGAAGTTCCTCCCTCAAAATCCAGCCCTTGGCTGCTTGAAACCAACAAAGTCACTAGGGATTTGGGAGGAATCACCCAGCCATTTCCCTGCAAGATGGGGTGTACCTGAAAATTGGTTCCAAAAGAAGGACTTCATGTCTGCCCGTGTAGACTATTCTGCAATTTGGAGAGTGTGGTAGTGCCTATTTGGCAGGAATACGGTACCCAGTGACTTTGTTATTAATGCCAATGGTTACTCTCCCTGGCTGCTTGTGGAAGAAATTGCTATTTGATGTTCAATCAAAGAGAAGGACGGGCCACGTGGCCCAGGAGTTGGGACCACACTTTTCCACAGCCGCCCTGTGTGAACAAGGTATTTCAGAGGTCAGACTGTACCGGGTGCTTGGGTTTGGGTATCAGGCATCCTGGTTCACAGTCACCTTGCCACCTCCTGGCCATGAGACCCTGGCAAGTCATCCATATTCTCAGCCTCCGTTTCCTCATTTGTGTAAAAGACATGATATCTCAATGTGGACAGTTAAATGAGATGGTGGCCTGGCTCCTAGCTAGGGCTTTCTCAACAGTTTCCTCTATGGTCACCATATGCACATGGACATTAGTGAGGATAAGATTTCTTTCAGCTCCCGAGAAGCTCGTGGAGAAAACTCATTTGTTTCAAAATATACTCAGCGTGAGGCTATAGATGATAGGAACCTTGCTTCTCTGGTGCCAGAGGGAGTGTGGATGTCCTCTAATAAGCCCCATTGGAAAAGACACTGCCACAGCATTTAGACAGAGTCAGAAACCTTTCCCACCTGTCATGTCATTTGATTTACAAAGGATTCAGGGAGAGAGTGAACATGCAGGGGCTGGAGTTGATTGTGCCAATTCAAGAGAGGTTAAGCAATCTGGACAAGGTCACACAGCTCATAGTCAGAGATCTGAACCTATATGATCTCACTTCCTAGCTACAGGATGCTGATTATAATCTAACTGGATGCTAAATTCTGCTTTTTCTTATTCAGAGCTGAAAGGGTCCTCTGAGACAGTCCAGTTGTGCTCTTGGCTGGAGAGATGTGAGTCTGAAGCCCAGAGAGGTCACAGAGATGTGCAGAGGGATCTGACTGCCTGTTCAATGCTTTTCCATGGCTGCCTCTGTGCCAGGTGTTCAGTGTCCTCATCTTTCACGTGATGCATTGATGTCCGGTGGTGGCTGAGGGCACGATGCTGCAGCCAGCCTGCATAAGTGCAACCCCCACCTGTGTCACTTATAGCCAGGTGATACAACCTCTCTGTGGCTCAGCCTGCTCTGCTTTAAGAGAGCAAAATAGTCATTTTGGGACTAGGGACAAATAATACATACAAAGAACTTAGATGATACTATACAGTGAATAACCTATAATATTTGATATTACTTTATTATTACCATCAATAGCATAGGAGACATTTTTCAACTTCCAGACCAATAAACCAGGACTGGGGTGCATGGCTGTGTGTCCTCTCTTGTCTTCATCAACCACGTAAGCATGTGACCAGTTGTCCTGAAAGGTTTATCCTCTCTTTACTCGAAGAGGGATTGGCAAAGGGATATCAAGCCATAAACAAGAGAGTCCTGATCTTCCTAACAGATAGAGAAGGATCCTGCCATTTCTGCTGTCACCTCCACCAGGATTTACTGAATGTTTTTCCAATGATTCATATTTTCTTAAATATATTTATATATAAAGCAGATTATTTATAGTGACTGAGAATAAGAGTCCATCTTCTTTCAGACATTGAAGGGAAGGTAACCACAAAATCATATCATATATATATATATATGTATATTTATATAAATATATATTATATAAATATACATATATATATATATATATTTTATCACTTTTGCCAGGATTGACTTCAAGGCAGTAGAGAGGTGCTGAAGACATACCTATGGGCCAAAGGGAAGCTTTCTCACTGTTTCCCTTGGGAAGTGACAGGAATCAGACCCAGGGCACCACTTCCCGATACTGGGACCCTGAGTCAGTAACTTTTTGTGCTGATGTAGTTCAGTCTTTGGGAAAGGGACTCTTAATTAGTATTTCCCTTTAGAATTGCCCTCAGAATTCAAAAGCAAAAGTGATTAACAAGGCTTGACACAGACTCAATGGTATGTAATTGTCAGGAATACTGAAAGGGAAATAACCTCTTGTTTTGCTTTGTTATTTAATGCCAGGTCTGCCTAGCATCTAAAATGATTTATGCCCTGGGAGCATCTCATGATTAGGGAACCTCCAGCCTGGAGTGGAGTGGACCAGCTAGGCTGAGGAATATTCTGGAAAGTTTAAGCAAAGGAGCATCCAGTCAAATGTGCCCATCTATCCATTCAGCCGTGGAGACTGGAAAGAAGGGAGGGAGGAAGAGGTCTGCGCTCGCTGCGTTGCTGTTACAGGAGAAACGCTAAAGACTATCATGGGAACAGGACAGGCAATGCTGAGGGAAGAGGAGAGAGGGGTATTGGGGTGAAGGTCACATCCACCACAGGTCTCTGCACTCAACTCCCGGGCTCCGCCAAGCCAGCCACTTAAGGGCGAGGCTGGGGTTGAACACGGACTCCTGGAAAAGGTGAAACTTAGGGCAGAGTTTCGGGGGCGGGGGTGGGGTGGGGGGTGGGGGTGGAGAAGAAGGTGAGGACATGCCGCCGGCTGGTTTCCCGGAAAAGCCAGGAACGCCGGTGTCTGCAGATCGCGGAGAAATTGGGAAGGGGTGGGCAGGCAGGCAGGCTGGGCCACTGTTTCCACTCGGCACACAAAGTCCCTCCGCGCTGGCGGGCGCCAAGGGGGAGGCCCCCGCGGTGAGTACGGAGACCAGCCGAGTTCCTGGAGTCCTGAGCTCGGCCCTGCGTGTTGCTCTCAGCCCGGCCCCGGTGGCTGCGGGGCGGCGCGGATCCGCGGAGCGGGTGCAAGGCGGGGGCGGGGCTTCTGCGCCCGGACCGGGGCCTCTGCGCCCAGGCCATCCTCTCTGGGTATAAACTGAACACACTGGCTCCTGGGCTCCAACACGCCTTCCACCGGACAAATAGATCTTCTTCTGCACTTTCTTTGGACCTCCTGCCTCACCTCAGCTCCAAATGGACCCCAACTGCTCCTGCTCCACTGGTAAGAGACCCCTGACTTTGAGACTTAAGATGCTCCCTTCCCAGGCACAGGACAGAATGTCCCTGCCTTTTGAGATGGGAGGATTTTGAGTGTGAGCTCAAGTGGACCCTGGTCGTTGGTCCAGAGCTTTCTTCCTAGCCAGGCTCCTGAGTGCAATTCCAGTCTCCCTTTGACTCTATTTTAAATTTGAGGCTGTCCTTCTTGAGGTCACCCAGCTGGTGAGGAAATTACTGTAGAGGGATCCAGGGCTCCATCCAGTTGCCAAGATTTGAAGGGAAGAGGGGACATCTTGTGGTTCAGGTCATAAGGTTTGGCCTCCCCACCCCCATCAGTCCTCGTAGATTGAGTTTGGAGCCTGGAACCATCCCTGTGGAGTAAAATCAGGACGGGACCTACCTTCCCTCACACCAGAAAGGGGAGGGGGGCGTCTCTATCTGCCTGAGTGGGACAAGAGCCCCCAGTGCTGGATTCTGACAGAGGAGGAGGGTTTAAGCAGGGATTGTTGACAGTCTGCTGGAGCTCCTGCATCCCATGTCCTGCTCACTGATGGTGTTTCCCTTCCTGACAGGCGGCTCCTGCACCTGCAGCGGCTCCTGCACATGCAAAGACTGCAGATGCACCTCCTGCAAGAAGAGTGAGTGTGGGGCCTTCTCTGGGAATCCAGGGTCTGGGCTGAGTCACAGGAGGGAGCCCAGAGCTCAGCATGCAGGAGCAGGACAGGGACCCAGCTTCCTTACATCCCATCTCTCAGCACTGAATCAGAATCTGACTTGAAAGTGCCATAAGATGACTGAGTCCCAGCTGTCATTCTAGAATGGTAAACTGAGGCCCAGAAATGTCACCATTAAGCTTCGAGGATGGAGTCAAAACTAGCACCTAGGTCTCCTATCTCTGATACAGCCATCTAAACCCTCCACCAATATGTTGAGCAAATTTATGTACATGAACTTGGTGACCACATGTGGCTTCTGTGAACTGCTGATGTAGGGGTTTCCTGTAGAGGCAGCTCAGAGATTCCCTGGCCTTCCTGGGAGCAGCTGTGTCAGGGGTTTACCTCCTCTCTGATCTTGAGGTCTTTTCTCACTTTATTTGATCGTTCTGGGGGCTGGACTTCCTCGCCCAGAGGCTCCAAGGCTTTCTGCCCTGTCCTGGAGTAGCCTTTTCCTAGTGTCAGGACAGAGCATACCATCCTAAAGTCAGGGTCCTGTGGGTCTGAGGGCAGCTTGCACTGGGCCTGCTGTTGGGAAGGGTGGTTCCTGGTAATGTGTGCTCTGACCCTCACTCTGCCCTCTCTTTCCAGGTTGCTGCTCCTGCTGCCCTGTGGACTGTGCCAAGTGCGCCCAGGGCTGCATCTGCAAAGGGGCGTCTGACAAGTGCAGCTGCTGCGCCTGATGGTGGGGAGAGCCTGCCCCAGATGTAAACAAAACAGCATGGACAAACCTGCATTTTAAATTTTTTCATACAACTTGACTTGATGCTGCATTCCTTTTTCTATGAAATACATGTATTGTAATAAACGTTGTTGATTTTATTCTGGCTCTGTTTTGCTTTGCATGAAACCAGAAAAGTTCTAGGGATTTAGAGGGAATAGGCCAGTCACTTCCCAGCAAGAGAAAGTATACATGAGAATTGATGCCAGACAGATTACTGTATCTGCCCGTGCAGGGCGATGGCTATTCTGCTATTTGGAGAGTGTGGTGATCTTTATTAGGAAGGAGTGAGGCATTCAGTGACTTGGAATATATTAAAATGGTTTCTCTCCCTGGCTATTTTTGGAGGGAATTGCTATTTGGTATTCAATCAAGAAGAAAGAGTCATCACGTGGCCCAGGAGTTCTGTGCACACTTGCCTGCAAATGCCTTGTGTAAAGAAAGGTTTTTCAGGAGCCAGCCTGTGCTGAGTGCATGGGTTTTGGTGTCAGGCATCCTGGTTCACAGCCACCTTGTCAATTCCTGGCATTGTGACCTGGGCAGATTCATGATAATTTCTTAGCCTCCATTTCCTCATTTGTATAAAGTAGATTATATTTCAATGTGGCAGATTACATGAGACGCTGTCCGGCTCCTAGCTAGGGTTTATAAACAGTGGCCATTTTGATGATTATATCTACCAACATTCGTGGGGACAGAACATTTTTATCTTCAATAAAGTTCCAGGAAAAAGCTCCATTGCATTGGAAGCATTACTCTGGGCTGAGGCTAGAAATGATCTCACCTTGCTGTGATCAAGTGCCAGGGTGTGTGTGGTTGACCTCCAATAAGCCACTGGGACAAGATGCTGCCACATAATTTGGACAGAAACAAAAGCCTTTCCTACCCTTCGTGTCATTTGAACTGCATAGGAACCAGTAAATAAGTGAATGTGCAGTGGCTTAGGTGCTTTTGCATCGTTCCAGAGACGTTAAGCACCCCACCCAAAGCTCATTGTCAGAGATCTGAACCTCTGCTACAGCTGACTCACTTGCCAAAAGTGGCTGATGATGTCCCTGGATGCTGAATCCTGCTTTTCCTTATTCAAATCTGGGAGGGTCCTTTGAGACAGTCTAATTGTGCTCCTGGCTGGAGAGATGGGGATCTGAAGCCCAGAGAGGTCACAGAGCTGTGCAGAGGGATCTCACTGCCTGCTCAGTGCTTTTCCATGGCTACCTCTGTGCCAGGTGTTCAGTGTCCTCATCTTTTGTGTGATGTCATGGTGCCCAGTGGTGGGTGAGGCCATGAAGCTGAAGTCAGCCTGCATGAGTGCAAGTGCCACCTGGGTCACTTATAGTCGCATGACATACCCTCTCTGGCTCAGACTGTCCTGCTGTAAAAGGGCAAAATAATATTGCCTGGCTTGTAGGAGTAAGGAATTTAATAAATATAAAGTACCTAGAATGAAGCCTGGCACAGAGCATGTAATCTATAATGTCAGTTATTACTTTATTAATATCCTTAATAGCAGAGAAGACATATTTCAACTTCCAGACAAGTAAGCCAGGGCTGGTGTGCGTGGCTGAGTGTTCCGTGTTGTCAGTCACGTGAGCATGTACCATTGCCCAGACAGGGTTATCCTCCTCCTCACAAAAGAGGAATTGGCACTAGGGATATAAAGCCACCATCAAGGCAGTCCACGTCCTCCAAACAGATGTAGGAAGACGCATGGCTTTTCTGCCCTCACCTGCGCCAGAATTTTACTTACTTAATATTGTATGTATGTTGTGTGTGTATTATCCCCAAATTATTTATATGAAAAGCAACCTTTTTACCACTACTAAATATGAGAATCAGTTTACTTCTAGACATAGATAGTAGCCACAAAAAAATAATTATTTTCCTTTTCTAATACTTCTGTCACTGCCAGGATTGAGTGCAAAGCAGTAGAGAGGTGCTGAGGCCACACCTCTGGTCCAGAGGCTCTTTTTCTCTTGGGAGGTGACAGAAATCAGATCCAGGGCACCACTTTTCAGAACTGGGACCCTGGGTTAGTAGCCTCCTTCTGCTCTATTTAGTTTAGCCTCAGGTAAATGGGCTCCTAACTAGTATTTCCCTTTACAGTTGCTGTTAGAATTCAAAGAGCAAAATTGAGCAAGGCTTGGCAGAGACTGCAGGAATACTGTAAGGGAAATATCCGCTTTTTTTTCTTTGTTACTGAATGCCAGTTCTGCTTATCACCTACAATGATCGCTTCCCTGGAGGGCATCCATACTTTGGGAACCTCCATCCTGTAGTGGGGTGGACCTGTCAGGCTGAGGAAAGCCCCTGGAAAGTTTAGGCAAAGGAGCCTGGTGAAATGTGCTCATCTAACCATTCAGTCCTGGAGAATGGAAGGAAGAATGGGAGGCAGAGGCTTAAGTTCGCTGCGTGGCTGTTACACAAGAAACGATAGAGAAACTCTGACTAAAGACTATGCTGGGGACGGGACATGCAATCCTGGGGTCGGGGAGGGCGGTCTCTGCACACAGCTCCCAGGCTCCCGCCAAGCCTGGGACCTGAGCTAGAGGATGGGGTTGCACACGGGCTCCCGGAAAGAGCGAGAATAGCGGCGTGAGGGAGCGGGGTGGGGAAGACAGCCGGGATACAGGGGCTGGGTTCCGGAAAAACCACCTGGAAAAGTGGAAGGAGGAGGGTAGGGAGGTTGAGCCACTGCTTGCCGCCCGGCACACAAAGTACCGCCCCTCTTCCACCGCGCGGGCGGTCGCCAAGGGGG